ACCTCAATTATAATGTGGTACACGACTCAAATGTTCATTCACCCATTATGTGCTTCATTTTTCAATTTATTTTGATTTTTCATTAATTAAAAAGTGAATTAAATCAAATAAATGATGAAAATTAACAAAGATATGATTTGATTTGTTTTTTGGACAGACTGGCAATCAAGATATGCTGAGTAAACAAGAGAAAATTGAATCAAGGGCAATTGATACAAGAAAGGCATGATTTAGCTCAAAATAGAAACATATCATATAGCTTTCAAATCAAATCAAATCTTAGATATATGCAAAGATTTAGTCCAAGTTTGTTAACCTAATTCACTCTAGGTTATATAATGAAGGATTCCAGATTAAAAAACAAGGGTTAGAGGTCGTGAGAGGCATATAACAGAACTCAAAAAAGTTGGCAAAAGTGTGAATTGGTTTTCACTCCACATGCCATCTCAAGCCATCCTAGCTATCCCAATCCATTGCTGGACGTCCCAGGAAGCTGTCTCAATCATTTGCAAGGCCTGAAACACCTAGAAACGCGCGCTACACTTCATACAATTTGGCATATTTTTTCAATTCGATTATCACAATTCTTGCACCATTGACACTTTTGATTGTTATATTCGTGTTTGTCATCATGTTTGCAAGCTAACCATGTCATTTAATTGCGTTTTTGATGCTTGTACACGATGTTGCCATTGCTAGGGTTTCTGAGTTATTTTTAGGGTCTTTTTGTACAGGAAAAATTAGACTTTGAATTAGGTCCCATGATGCTCGTGAGGATGAGACGAGTTGATTGGTACCATTACTTTTCATTTATCTTGCTCGTATGCAATTTTTGAGATGAACAGGGTTACACCTACAGTGAACGTCTGTAGGTAAAAGTCTTTTTTTCTAAAGCGACAGTTGCAAGGAAGAAGACGCTGGCGTGTCAAGCAACCATTGGAACGTTTGAATCTCGCGCGTTTTTCTGACCCAACTATCTTGTTTTGCATATTATGTTTTGTTTGTATTATGTTAATAAATTAACATTCCAGCGCAGTTGACAAGGCATCACCAGAGGCGAGCATAGGGACATGTGTTCGATCCCCAGGTTCCAGCGTTTCATTTATTTTATTTTCATTCAATGGATCCAATGCATTACCCTATCCACAAAGTCAACATTGCACCAGATCAAGCGTGGTCAACCAGGCTTGGAGTATTTGGGCCAAAGAATTCAGATTTTCACCCCCTCTTTCAGCAAGACAACATGCCCAATTCTCAATTTCTTTTCTTATTTTATATTTTATATTTTAATTTGTTTAATTATTTTATTTTTTAAAAATCAGTTTTAATTTAATCATAAAAAATCAAGAAAAGTCATAAAAAATTAGATTTAGTTGTTTTTTTATTAAATTAAATTTTTGTTAATTAATTAGATTAATATTTAAATTAGGGTAACTTTAATTTGTTTTTTTTTTACAATTAAAATTAAATTAGAAAATTAGGTTAACTTTTGATTTAATTTTTCTCTTTTTTTCCTCAAATAAAACAAAAAATACAAAAATAGGTTGTTTAGAATTAATTAATTAATTTTCAAAAATTAACATTAATTATAACTTAGGATTTTCTTTTAATTTAATTCTCCATTATTTTCTTAAATAACAAAACATGACAAAAAAAAAACATTTTTTCTTTAATCAATCGCAAGTAGAATTAGTCAAAGGGTAAAAACCCTAATCGCCTCGCATTTAACTCGCCGCGCGCTTGTTAATTATTTTGCCATTATTTTGTAACTGTTCAGCGTTTGTAATAGTTAACTTAGGGTTTTTATTTACTGTTTAAATCCCCGATTTTTGGTTATGTAATTAATCCCCCTCCCCGAAGCCTTGTAATAGCTAGGTTCATTTTCTCGCATTTTTACTTTCAGCAAACTTCTTAAACTGTCTAGATGTATGACTAATAGGATTGTATGGCAAGAATGCATGACAAAATTAAAATGGTTAGAAAATCCTAATGTGCAAAGATAATAAACTGCAAATAAATCACTCGCACATATTCACTCTTAGGGTATACTCTCACTTCGGTTGCCTTCGATAAACGATCATTAAGTATATGGTGTCTTAGTGGTTGCCCTCCAGTCTAAAAGATCAAATTGTCCCATTCGAATGATTCCTCGGAAATGTTTCCTCTAAAAGATCTAAGACTCTAGGGTTGTTACTAAGGTGTCCTAATATTGCTTTAGTGACCGTACGTCCCTTTCGAATTGACCCTTACAAATTTCAACGATGGTGCTACCTATTTCTCAATAGTAGGATAGCGTTGTCTAAAGGAAACAAGAATAGAAACGATCTTTCTTCGAGTAGGTAGATGCTAGTAGGTACTTGCTCAAATCAAAACTTTTCACTCTTACATTTTTCAAACAAATATTCAAAAACAACTTCGTCACACCCTTGAGGACTGATACAAGGGTTATCACGAAGTAAAATATTTTTCAAAAACAAGCACATACACAAGCAATTTTAAAAATGAGCAAGTACCTAAGAGCCCATGGAAAACCATGGATAGAAAGGGTGCTAACACCTTCCCTTTCTATAATCTACCCCCCGTACTCAAAATCTCGAAAAAGGATTTTTTATGTACTTTTTTCCTTTTCGGTTGGATGAAATAAAAGTCGGTGGCGACTCTTGCTTATCACGATATTTTGCGAACAAAAAACACAAAACGCAAACCAGTAAAAACAGTCGGTTCTGCCACCGTATCACAGTGCAGTTCTTGATCCAAGGTATGTAATTCTTGTTTTAACTTGTGAGTTGTGATGAATGAATTGCCTATGATGAAGTGCTTGTGAATTGATTCAATTTATTTGTTTAAATTATATTGTCAGCCTTGTTGTGACTTGTGAGTTATGATGAATTTGTTGCCTATGATTAATTGCTTATCTGAGGCCACTATTGTCTGAACTGCTTGCGAAGTGATTTTGATCAATTGTTTAAATCATGTTATCTGCCTTGTTGTCACTTTTGAGTTATGATGAATTTGTTGCCTATGGTTAATTGCCTATATGAGACCACTACTGTCTGAACTGCTTGTGAATGGATTCAATTATATTACCTTGTGATGTTGTGACTTAATTGTGCATAGGATTCAATTATGTTGCTTACCTTATGAGTTGTGACTTAATTATGTCTAGGATTAAATTATGTTGCCTTGTGAGTTGTGATTTAATTGTGCCTAAGATTAAATTATGTTGCCTTTAGTTGTCTATGATAAAATTGAATTCCGAGGCCAAATATTGGATGAAAATAAACTATGCAAATTAAGTTGGTTGACAACTCTACTTGTTCAACTAGGTATAAAATGATCTTCATCAAATGGATATATCTCTTCTTGTATTCAAATGCTACTTAAGTCACTGCCTATGAACAAGAGTTGGCAACCAACTTAAAATCTCACTTTCAATTGTATCAAGATCCTTATGGAACTAATGATGAGAATGCCCCCATGTCTGAAACTCTAGAAGTGGGATCTAGTTCTGGATTGAGAAAGAGGAGTTTTGAGATGTTTTTAGAAACATTTGTTGGCAATACTAATTCAAAATCTGATCTCGAATTATATCTTGAGGAGGCTCCCTTGAAAGTTTCTCCTAAAGCTAAGTTTGATATTTTAATATGGTGGATAGGGAATGAAGCTAAGTATCATGTTCTTAGTAAGTTGGCCAAGGATATCCTAACTGTTCAAGTTACAATTGTTGCTTCAGAAGCAACTTTTAGTGCTGGTAAAAAGATTATTGATCCGAAATTATCTTCTATGAAAACTAAGACAGTTGAAATGGTACTTTGTGGGGGTGATTGGGTGAGGGAGAAATATGGAATTAAAAAGGGCTCCACTGCTAGTATTGTAAGTATCTTTTACTTATGATCTATTTTAGTTGAATATTTATATGGCTTAAGCTTTTCCATTTATGTTGTCTTGTTTAACTTATGCTTTTACTGATGTAGCTTGAAGAACCACAAGATGAACCTTTAACATTTCATTTTGGTGAGGATCCTGGTGTCTCTTCTTCAACAACAACAATTTTGTAATGTTATTTTGATGTATTTTGAAATGCCAATGATGAGATTGTTCTGAGGCATCATTAACAAATGTAATATTATTTTGTTGTTTTTTGAAACACAAATTTCATAACTTATGTTTGAACAAGTTTTATATTTTTGAACAAGTTTTACTTTTGAAAACATAAGTTTCATAACTTATGTGAATGATATTTAGAATGTAATGTCAAATGCATATTTTGAATGGATTATTTAAAATGTAATTTTGCATATGAAATTAAAAAAAAAATTCAATTTTTTCCTTTAATTCGGGTGGGCCGGGTACCCGAACCAAAAATTACCGGTCCAGTCTCGGATCCCCATGTCCAATAATCAATTTTTCGGTCCGATTTTGATTTATCCGAAAGTATCAATTCGATTTCGGTCTTAAAATTTAACCATCACTGTTTTAGTCCGATTCCGATTTATCCGATAAGAGTTTTGATCCAATTCTCGGGACCCTTGATACCCAGACCGGACCGGACCGGACCGGATCCAACCCTACTCATGGCCAAGATATAAGAACATAAAAAAAAAAGAAGGAATTTTAGACCATTAATTAAGTATTGAAACCAACCAATTATCGAATATGCAAATGATAATGATAAATTAACAAGGTCTATGTTTTTCATTCATCCTAATATAGTTAGGACTTGAACAAAATTATACCAAAAGTTTTCAGTATTAAAACTTTGACCCCAAATTAGACTCTTGAAGTTTTTCAGTTTCTTTCCCTCTGACCCATTTCTTCCGTTGATCTCTCTTGACAAATATATAGATAGAAGATATTTAGAGAAAGAGAGAGAAAGTTCGTGTTTTCCGATCGAATTGCCCTACGTTTCTGTAAAAATTGAAAACAACGAAAACGGCTCTTTCCAAAATTCAAGAACCAACCTCTCAGATTTGATCCTTCTTCTACAATCTCAATTTTCCATGGAATCAACGGAACTTCCTCCTCCGTGTCATGATCAACCCTCATCCTCCTATAATTCCAATACCAGGTCTCAATTTCCCTCTTTCTCATTATCCTTTTTTTCTCTCTTAATTTTAAATTTGCTTTAATTTTTTATGCACTTGAAATTCAGATTCTGGGCTGTGACTATTTCATTATAAACTTCAATTCTCAGTATTCATATATGACCCAGGGCTTGCTCAGTTATTTTAACTTAGCTAGAGGATTAGGTTTAAGTAATTTGATTCCAAATCAATTCTGAGTATCTATCTAACAACTTTTTTGGCCCTAAAGAAATTAAGCGGATTTAATGACCATTAATACTTGATAAAGTTTGTAAATCTGTGAAGCATTTAATCTGTTGACTCGTCAGGGTAAAGTTTTTGAAAATTTATGTTTTTGCTGCTTTGTTGCTTGGATATTGGACATTTTAATCAAAGAATGAAGTTCTAATTCATTATTGTAGCCAAGGCGTTTATCTGATCACGCTTCCTTGTTTATGGTGAATTTGAAGTATTATATTTTTTGTAACAATGTTTCTAACATGATTCTTTTGAATTTGGGCAGTGGTAGAAATGTCTTTAGCTTGTTAGCTCAAAGAGAGATTTCACCTAGAACAAAACATGTACGAAAATGGCACTGGGGAGAATCTTCTAAATCAAAATCTAGTTGCTCCAATTCTAAAAGAATGATAGATGCAAAGTGCGGTCTCCTCTCATGGTACTTACACAACTTTAGTCAGTTCAGGGTATACTTTATGCCAATAAAAACTAAGCCTTTTGAGGACGCGGAATTTATTTTCGTTCTCTAGGAAAGTCAATTTCGAGTACTAACATATCTAAATGTAATTGCTAGGGTTGAGGCCGAGTCATTGAGGCATCTGTCAGCCAAATATTGCCCTTTATTGCCTCCTCCACGGTCTACTATTGCAGCAGCATTTAGTCAAGACGGGAAAGTGCTTGCCTCCACACAGTAAGTTGTAATCGGTTTATCTTCTCTTTTGTCAACTTGAATCAAGGGTCTTTTATGATTAAATTTTGTGTGTTTTTGGCATGTGCAGTGGTGACCACACAGTAAAGATCATTGATTGTGAAACTGGAAATTGCTTGAAGGTATTAGTTGGCCACAGAAGGACACCTTGGGTGGTAAGCTTGGCTTAACTTGACTCTATCCTTTTTATTTTCTTTTTGTATGGTTATAACTTATAGACTGTGTCATGAGCCAAGTGAATAGTTTTATATCATATCTCAACACCCCTTGAGAGTGTGGTGGGCTCATAACCCACATCTCCTTGAATTGGAACTAAGATTCGATACCAACTTGAAAAGTACTTTATTGAATATTACTTATTGATGATAAATGTACAATATGAGTTAACTAATGTTATTACTACTTTCCTATAGTAGAGCTACACTGTGAGTTACATACCTGTCCTAGTAAAAGGAAGTCAGGTAACATACCTGTACTAGGAAATGGAATAGAAATGGTAACTCAACAGAATTAAATATATTTCCATTAAGTTCAATGAGATATATTCAGAAGATGATACAATTTATGGAGTGGAGTTTATAGATTTTTTTGTAACAGAGCACTAACCAGCTACTCAATTTTGACCGTTAGTGTTTACTTCATGTATTCAGTAATCTACATTTCCTTTTTTTTAAGTTCATATCTCTTGTAAAATTAATTTCAGGCTTCTTTGCCATTGTATGTAATTTTATACTATGTTATTTTCCATGACTTGCAAAGTGAGTTTCATTTTAGCAATTTCCGATCCAAGTGAGTGAAAAATGTGTGCTATTGAATAATGTTTTTTAACCAAGACTTTCTTTTGCCCTCTTTGGATAATTGCATGTGTACTTTGAATTAGGAAACACAAATTATATAATATTTAATGCCAAGAAGTGGCCTTGTGCCCACAGAATATCGGAACCATGTTAGGTATATGCCCTGATGGGGTCTTGTGTTTCAAATCCTAGCACAGTCATAGCGTTGTCCTTTAAAAACTCTAAATTGCTGTAATACAACCCTGGTGCACCTAGTTTCTTGGGCTTTCAGCTTTGAGACAACCATAGGAATTCAATCAATGAGAGCTACTCTGCCTTCAGCTCAGCCATGGAAATTGAAGATCAATACCAAATTGACCTTTAAATTCTCCTTACTAGATGTGAGATTATAATGTTTGGTAAAGTTATTGCTAATTGGCTCATCTTGTGTATATGTCCAACTCCAAATATGCCAAGGAATCAACTTCGGAAAAAAAAATGACGGCACCTGTAATAAGTTTCCTTTCTTTGTCTTGAGGACAATGCAACTTTTCTGTCAGAAATAATTGATAGGTTCCTGGACTCGACCATGATTACTAATGGGAAGTTAAAGGAGGGAGAAAAGATATTTTAGAGTTGTTTATATAGGAAAGTTTAAAGGGAAAAGAGGATTATGCGCCTTTTCTGTATTAATATCTGCTCATAACTTGGAGGCATATGAGTTTACCATGGCTGGGATGAGAGTATTTGTTCTTACTCTTCTTTATTTCTCTTCTATTTTTTTTTATCAACAATACAACCTCCTTTTATTAGATAGGACCTTTTGTTCACATGTGATACAAAAATATTTTAAGATACAATAATCATATTATGAGACATTCTCTAGATATTCTAACATCTCTTCCCTTCTACAAACATTTTGCATTGTAGAAAGTGTTTTTTTTTTTAAATACACATCTTCCACTTAGAGTAATGTGTTAATTGGCTACAGGTTAGGTTCCATCCATTGCAGCGACAGATACTTGCTAGTGGAAGCTTGGACCAAGAAGTTCGTTTATGGGATGCTAGCACATCAGAGTGGATTTTATCTCACTATTTCAGTAACTACACTGTCCATCTCCCCTTTTCTTTTCCTAATCACATCTGACATTATTATTAAACTTGTTTGTTCTTCTTCTTTTGCTTGTATCTCAGATCGCCCTATTGCATCTCTTGCTTTCCATGCCAGTGGGGAAATAATTGCTGTTGCATCAGGCCACAAGGTAACATATAGTGTCGTATTTTTTCCGAGAAGCTACCATGTCTATAACCTTTAGTGGCTTGTTGTATGTTTTTTTAAATCTCGTTCATTGTGACTTTGAATACTGTCAGTTGTACATGTGGCACTACAAAAATGGAGGGGAATCAACTTCACCAGTTTTTGTGCTGAAGACAAGGCGCTCTCTACGGGCTGTGCATTTTCACCCGCATGGTGCACCATATCTTTTAACTGCTCAGGTGAGTGAACTGACTTGTTTTAAATTAACCGGCTTCACGTGCTATAAAAATATAACTTTTTGGATTTTCTTTTTTGTTACCTTATTTGGATTGATGTGCAGGTTAATGATCTCGACTCTTCCGATTCCTCAATGACGGAGGCAACATCTCATGGTTACTTACAGTATCCTCCACCAGCTGTTTTTGTCACAAATGTTAATTCCAGGAGGCATATCAATATGTCAAGTGAACCACCCAATGTATCATTACCTCTCTTCTCCAGGCCTTCATATACCGTAAATGAGTCAAGAGTAGAACTACAGCATGCTAGTAATGATGTTGGTTCAAGTAGCATGCAGGTTCAGTCATCTTCTGTAGTTCAGCTTCAAACTGACACAAATTCACCCGAACAATATCAAACTCGTTTGTCAAACTCCGAGATACCCACTAACTCTCAAACTGATGCAGAATATAATGTCCATACTACTTTACCTAATCAAACGAGAATTGACATCAATAACCTCACAATGGGTGGTACAGCGACTTATGAAACAGAACAAGAACCAGCTGAAGAAATTCATCATGAAAACCCTGATCATGTCAATTCTCTTGATGGGGGGACGCTACATGACCCATTGAGACATGCTGTAAAACCTGAGGATCTTTCTGAGCTTGGTCAATTTCCTCAGATTGTTCCTTCACGAGATTCAAGTGGATGGGAGTTGCCTTTTCTGCAAGGATGGTTAATGGGTCAAAGCCAAGTTAGTGTTCCCTCAATGCTTCCTCACATTGGAGGCAGTGATGACAGCCTTCCTCAACAGATTGGTTCTTCCACTAGGACATCTAATTTGTCCACTACTAATGTTGGGGTAGCAATGCCACCTTCAGAAATGCCTAGCGGCATCAGCATACCACCAGGTTTACAGGGTCGATTTTCAATAACCCGTCGTGTACCTGTATCTGATTCTGGCAATCTTGTTCCATCTATTAATGCGCCGCGCGATGTTGAGGTAGCAATGCCACCTTCAGAAATGCCTATACCTCCAGGTTTACAGGGTCGATTTTCAATAACCCGTCGTGTACCTGTATCTGATTCTAGCAATCTTGTTCCATATATTAATGCGCCACACGATGGGTTTGATAGCCAAACCATTATAAGCCGAATCCAGGCAGAACTTGCAACATCAGTGGCTGCCGCAGCTTCTGCAGAGTTACCTTGCACTGTTAAGTTAAAAGTATGGTCATATGACTTAAAAAATGCTTGCACCCCGCTACAAAGATGCTGTCTAACTATACCACATGTCGTCTTATGCAGGTACCTTCTGAGATTATGAGCCTATCATATCTGCTCTAGCATGTGATTGATAGTGTTATTGTTAATTTGCTTGCTTTTGCATGCATATTGTGAATCAAATGTTTTTCTTTCTTCTTGTGAATGAACACAGACCGATTACTTGATGGAAATTGCTTTATATTAATGTTTTGTTATATAAATGTTTGGAGTGACTTTGTGGAACTAAACTCAATTGCATTTAGATTTTGAGTTTACATTTCTGTTTGCAGTGAAATGGGTGCCCATTTTTCACCATGTGGTAGATTTTTAGCCGCCTGTGTTGCATGTATGCACCCTCATATAGAAGCTGATCCAGGATTGCAAACGCTTGTACACCCGGAGTCTGGAGTTCCAACATCACCAACTCGACATCCAATCTCAGCACATCAAGTAATGTATGAGCTCCGGATATATTCCCTGGAGAATTCAACGTATGACTCTTTCAACAATTGCCGCTAATAATTTAATTATCCTTCTCTGATGCACTTGAGTCAAGCATGTCCTAAGTTTCTGTAATCTACATTTTTCTTAACAGATTTGGATCAGTGCTTGCATCGCGAGCAATTAGAGCTGCTCATTGCCTGACTTCAATCCAGGTCAGTTAATTACTTTATTATGTGGTTGATCTACCTTGCAAACTTAAAATAACTAAGTCTTAAATATATATATTTTTTTTGACACAAGTATATTGTTGTTGAAAGCTATTTAATTTATACTTTCAGAAAAGCAAGTTACTACTGTATTTTTTGAAATAGTAGATGCTAGGTAGTGTTATCATATGTATCCTAATAGCCTACTTATCTATTTCTTTCTTGAAGTTGCATGGATAATTTAAATATTACTGGTGACTACTACAGTTGCATTTCACTTGATCAGTAATAATCAAATAAATCATTTTCTTGGTGGATTAAATTTGTTCAACTATTATTTTAAATGTAGTTCTCACCTACATCTGAGCATATACTGCTTGCATATGGTCGACGTCATGGTTCTCTTCTTACAAGCATTGTCATTGATGGAGAAACAACATTACCAATATATACAGTTTTAGAGGTAAAACGCTTTTCTTTTTCTCAAACTAAAATTATCTTATCATCTGAGCTGCACTTCATTGTGATATAAATAATAATATACTCCTTGTCTCAAATATATTCATGTCTCCGTTGTAATTAAAATTGTTTACCTTTGCATTTGTTTGTGTTTTAGGTATATAGAGTGTCAGATATGGAACTTGTCAGGGTGCTTCCTAGTGCAGAGGATGAGGTCAATGTGGCATGTTTTCATCCTTTTCCTGGGGGAGGACTTGTCTATGGAACCAAGGTATGTTTTTGAATGCAAACTGAAAACTTTCACTTATTTAACTGATTGATAACCCTTTGCTCGTGGTGGTTGTAGGAAGGAAAGCTTAGGGTCTTCCAGTTTGACCGTGCTCACACTGTGAATGGTACTGGATCTGGTTACTTACCTGAGGAAAACATTACTGGAGTTGGTCAGTGAGCAAGGTGGATACTTTACATATTTTTGGGATTTGTTATTTTTGTTAGATAACTTCAATTTTATTTTCTTATGGAAGTAAACTTTTTCACCCTTTCCTTTTGCTCTTGGTTAAGTATTGAACAGTCAAAGCAAGAAAGGAATGTTCTATATCATGGCCATTTTCGGGATTCATGATATATTGATTTTCACATGTAAGTTACATTGATTATCTCATGTAAATTACATGTGAAAATGTAAGGTGGTGTTGTACATTGATTTTCTCATGTAAATTACATGTGAAAATGTATGGTGTTGTACAATTTCAAAAACTATAAAAAACTAGCAAGTACGCTATCGTGCATTGTGCGGGGTTCTTTTGTTATTGAAAAAATACTTTGGAAAAGATTAATATATTTAGAAAATTAGTTTAGTATTAATAAAAGTAAAAAATATAAAATCGATTGGTTGGACTTGAGTGGTTAGTAAATTCAGTTAAGGTCAAATTGATCAGCAAACTTGAGTTCATTCTCTGCTGAGGCAATCTTTAGCTAGAGTTTACTAGTCTATAGAAAGCTAGATGTCGAATTTTTATAAGAGCAAATGATTCTGCACTATTTGAATGAATGCGTTCATATTCTTGTACATGCAGCGATATATGCAGTAGAATAGTTTTGTTCTGCAGGATTCTATACTTGAAAGTATATACAATTAATTGTTCTTTTACTTAGTTATTTATTGTTTACCATCATAACTATATAATTTGAAATGCATGTGGAATAGAAAGAAATATACGGAAGATCTTTTACTTAGTTCTTTATTGTATATACATTTATATGGATGCCATTTCAAGAAGTAGTACATTCATATTATGAATAATACTCAAATTAATCTAAAAAATATCATCCTGATTGTCTTTCATTGAATTATCTTCAAAGCTCTCATAATTTTGTTATTCTTCTAGATGTGATTATTTATTTGTGATTGTTTTCAACTCTTTTATTTCGATCGTTAGATAATTTATATCATATTAGAAAATTTGAATTGTTACAAGTTTTGTAGTAGTTTTTTTATGTTTTTAAAATCTTTTTTTGATTGAATGTTTTTTGTCATAAAAGGAGACATTGTTTCTCTATTAAAATCTTAATTTAGTTTAAGGAATCAAAATCTTTGGATATGTTGTGTTTTGAATTTAATTCAGGTCACTCAGAACTTTTATTAGACTCATTTAATTAAAAGGTTATACAATTTTTGATATCTTGATCAAGATTTAGAGCTTTAAGTTTTTATTTTAATTTATAAAATTTGCTTATATGATTAGACTTACTAACCTAATTTTTCAAGAAAAATTATTATTAAAAAGGGACTTTACGTTTGGGTTATGAATTGAATTTTCTTCGGAGAATTATTTGAATTTCTCTTATAAAAGTTTAGTTTGGGTGAGATTGGATTTGATTTAGGTTTTGTTTTTTAGCACCTTAAACCAAAATGATAGCAAAAAGTTTTTAAAATTTAAGTTTGAGCCTTTTTTTAAATAAGATGTTGATGGATTTTCTTATCTTAACACATTTTAAAAGCTGTCTTTTGAATGTATATAATTAATTGATCATAACCTAACTCTTCACAAGGAATATTTCCATAAGCTTTACTCTAATTTTCTCTCTAATTGTCTCGTAAAGACTTGGTTACTCCCGTTAAGAACGCATCTTTATTGAAAGGTTAATATTTTAAGGTAATTTCTCATTCCATTCTTGCTATATTTGATGCATTTCTGAAATGCACTTCGAATGTAGCAAATACAATTTTTTAAAAAAAAATTAGTTAAGAGATGTAACTCCAAAGACACTTTTTATAGATGGGAATTTTTTTACCTCTCAGTAATGTTGGTGTTACTTCTACGGAGAAGATTTTTTAAGTGGGATTTGTATTTTTGGAATCTGAAAAGAGGTAAACGTTACACGGGCTTTCAAAGTGTGCAAGACTTTGATGAAGAATAAAAAACACGCCGAAGGTAATTGTCACTGATCGAGACACTGCACTAATGAATTCAATTGCAAAGATGTTTCCTACATCATATGTATTACTTTGTCGATATCACATTACAAAAAATATGAGAAGTCGACTATAACCCGCTGTAAGCACCAAACAAATCAAAGGTGATGATGAAAAAATGGTCAAACCAAATGTGGTGGTGGAAAAGATTATGGATGCATGGACTGGTATACTAAATTCATCCACTGAAGAATTGTATGTTGTCTCCATAATGTAATTTAGGAGCATATGTGTCCGATATCTAGATTTCTTGAAATACGTTGAGAGTACTATTCTGGAGAAAGTGAAAGAGAAGATTGTTTGTGCATGGGCCGATCAAGCCAGACACCTCGACAATACAATAATTAACAGAGTCGAATCATCACATTCGACGTTGATAGTAAGGGTGATTCCTGTAGAGATTGGGACGGGGTGCACCAAATGCTCCAAAACCAACATTCAGAAATACAACCCATTTTTGATAGAAGCATAACGGTGCAAGAACATATAAAGATAACATTCTCTATTCATAATTGGTTGGATGTGTATCCCGATCAGCATTACATTTCATCTTTCACGAAGCAAAACAACCATAACAAACAGGTACAGAAAGGACAAAGTGTGGGTGTACAGTTATGAAGACTTATGATCTTCCACGTGTTTATCGTATTGCAAAAAAAATGAAGATTAATTTCCCAGTACATATGGATGAAGTGTACATTCACGGGAAAAGACTTTGGTTTATTGATGATGGTGTGATTAATGATGGTAAATAAGGTATAAGCATCCAGACCGAATGGAAAATAATTCAAGACAGATTTTTCAAGGCAGATGACACTATAAAATTTCATATCAAAGAGCATTTGAGGAAGATTTCATATCCATAAACCACGGATTTGAAATCTCCTTCACAACCGTTTAAAATCAAAGGTGCTTCTAAGAAGGTAAAATCGAGTCAAGATGACAATTCAACAAAGCGGTCTCCATCGTACTTTGAACACGTTGATTAATATTTTCTAGATTCTCCAACTCCTAAATCTCAAAAAAATGTTTAAAAGGATGCTCGCAATAGCAAACCACCTCCACCACCTCCACCAACTCCATCACCTCCTCCACCCCTGATTCCCAGAATTGAATTCATTGACAAAATGCTGCTTTTTATACATAGACATTGGGAGGATTATGAATGTTGGGGATGACGGTAATTGTGGTTATCGAGATGTATCCATATTTCTTGGTAAATCAGAGCAGAATCACCTACTTGCATGTGGCACACTTTTGAAATAGTTAACGACGCATATGGAATTCTACACGAAGTTATATGGGTCTAATTTTTTTTCTGATTCAATTCAAAATGCACTTGTTCCTTGTTGTAGTGGTAAAACACCATTTTCAAAATGGACGCGCTTCCCTTAAATGGGCCACCTTATAACAAGTGCATATAAAAAATTGTGTACCGATCTAACAAGATATGGATTTTCGGAGATATTTTTTCTATTACACAGTGGTCCACCTAAAAACCCATTCAGACGCATCATGTGCGTTGAGTTTCTTTCAAAGGGCCTACATTTTGTTCAGGTTTTTGAAAACTTGGTGTCCGAATTCAGCTACATTGATTAAGTGGATGACACATGTAACAATTGAGGCAGAAACATGGTCGGATCAATTTATGAAGAGGATGATAGAGTTCACCAAATTTATGGAGCTTGAAAGAGAATCAAACAAGGAAGCATCGAAGGCAGAACCAACTGTAGGCTTATGCAGTACTGCATTTTTTGATGCATTCTAGATTGTAATTGATACACATTTTTGTATGTATTATAGATTCTAGACCAGTTGTAGACTTATGCGGTATTGCATCTTATTGTTATGAAAACGTAAGGTGTATTCGGATATGTGACTCCGAAGTCACTTTTTTTTGTAATTAAACGCGAGGTATATTCAAATATTCAATTCCTAAACTTTACCTGATACAAGATAAGAATTTTGAGGTCCAAAGAGACCCAATGTTTTTATAAATAGGATGTGTCTCAACCCTAATTTGCACCAGCATACTAAAACCAGCGAAAATGAGTTTATATCCCCACCTTGTATTTGTGCATTTCAATAGCGAGAAACCACTGCTTTCATTTAGGGTCACCAAAGAAACATCACTTGCATATCTGATATCCAAACTGAATACTCTGTTGCGCTTTCTAGAAAATCCCAGAGTTGTCAAGCTCGAGTATCAGGCACCCTCATTTGACAGCGAAGGAAGGGTCCATTTCACAAACCTTGAACTGAAGACGGATGAAGATCTAAAGGTTATGTGGAGTATTTTTCTCAATTATGAACCAAATAGCCTGATTGAAGTGGATGCAAAGATTTAAAAATTCGTCGAGGATATAATCATTATGTTGCAACGTCCCGATGAAATGGTTATGTAATTTTGAATTTATTTTCGTGACTGTCTACGTAATGAATGCTTTTATTTAAAGGATTATTGATGTTATGTTGGTATGTTTTTTTATAATGTTGTCATGTTTCCATTCATGTTGCCTTGGTTTTGGAAGTAGGTATAGTTTGGAAGCAGCTATAGTTCGGAAGCATATTTTTGAACACACCCTTTTAAGACTTCAGATATGTCTATCCGGATTATTTTGTGATAAAAATAGTTTTTGGTGCATCCATAAATGTATATCTGAAAACAGGGGGTATTTTGAGAATTTCGCATAGATTCTAGGAGAAAGTATAAGGGTGGGATGAGAAATTGCCTATTTTAAAGATTTATACTTAAGATTATATAATAGTTCAATATATATTTAACAAGAGATGAATCAATGTGTTGGGCTATTGTAACTATTTTCTGTTTCAGTGTAGTAATTATAATATTATATTTTTTAGCTTAAGGAAACTTCTCTCTACACCCTTGTGCATTGAGGCACATCTCTGAAAATTCGAAAATATTTCTGAGTAAATCAGAGATACATATCCGAACGCACTAAATATCAATT